AAGCGAGACCAATGCAGGGACCCACTGTTCCCGAACTCTGGCGGAAGAGAAGAGGAACAAAGGCCGCTCCTCCCCTCTTATTTATACCACGATTTACGTAAAAATTGTATGGAATACTGGGAACACTGCCCCTTCCTTGGTTACAAACTGGTAACCAGCGAAGGCCTAGATTAAAACCACCACAGGTTGCCATTAGAGAAAGAGTAGGATCAGAATAGGATTAGCAATTTCAAACATACAAATTACTGTGACAAATATCTTATAAAAATTTTGGTTGTTTTAGATACACTCAAATTACAGGGTCAGAAAATAATGGAACGTGGCAGAGAGATAATGATTTTCCACTGATAAATGTATAAAAAACCAGCAATAATTAATATTCTTAGACTGAAATAAGGTATTATGATCAGGCCAGACTATTTTCAATCTTAGCTCTATTAAGATAGTAAGGGAGAGCTGCTTTTTCAGACTTTGAATTATCCATGCAGCTCCCAAACTGTCTTTAATCTTTGTTGATCTCTTTAAGGAAGACTTCTGCCTAAATATTGAATCCTCTTATCTGTAGGTACTTAAGTGCATCTATTTTTTTTTCTTTACATGAGTTCATAACTTCCTATCTGAATGGGATTCTTTTTACTTACCCACATTACTTCATGAGTAATGCGTTAATTAATCTCTGTTGTCTTTTATTGTGAAATCCTCCTATTTTAAGGTATGTCCCTTGATCGTTTGTGAATTTCCATCTGGAGTCCAGAGATCAACATTATATCCTGTCATCAGGGCTGAATAAAGTCTAATAGTGGAATCTCTAATGAGGGGGGCACAGAGAACACTCTGTTGCTTTTAAAATTTGCTGTACAGCCATTTCAAGGGGACGTGAAGGGACACGGGCTCTTCCTCTTCTTACATGATACTTACTGACAGCCTAAATGCCTAATTTTAACCAAATTAGTGTTTTTAACCACACAGGAAATTGTCAAGAAGCCTTTTTGAGATAGGAAGGATTAAGAGATTAGCTTTTGGGCAGTAATTCATTAAAAAGTCAAAGAGAGGCAGCCTTTGAGAGCATTCTGTCTTAAATCTTACATCCAATAAATACTCCTAGTTAAAAGTGATCACTTGGGGTCTGGCACTCCTGGACTCCTCACAGACCCACCTTTCAACAAGTTATTTTACTTGAAACACTCCTATGTTTCAATTAATGGAGTATAATTTACTAATAGCTTACATTTATCACCATCATTTTCATAGGAAAAAATCAAAATATTATGTCAAAACACCATTTTTTTCAATGACTTATATGATTCCCTACAGGAACATAATACTGAATACCTTTTTACTAAAAAGTAAGAGATTATTTAAAACTTATTTTTAAAGTTTTTAACAAGGCTCGACTGTGAATCCATACATGTAGCATAATCAGACAAGACAAACACAAGCTACATCAACACTCTGGATTTTAGTTAATATAGAAATATTAGTAAGTCCTTTACTTAACCAATGTTTTCCAGTAGATATTCCCTATGCATTTCAAACTAGAAATGCAAAATCCTGCTGCATAAGTGCTGTGATTACCACATATTGTCAATGTGTTTATTTATGCTTTACTCTGTTTACCAAATTGGGTTTTTGCTGAAGTGCTTAAGATTTAGTTAAGTGTATGTGTATTTTTAAAGCCCTGTTAATACTTCTTTGTTAATTACAGTGGCAACTCTCATAGTACCCTTTTATGGCATCCTCTCAGTTACATGCAATGCAATTTCCTGCCAAACAAGCACACAATAAATCCAAAAGTTTCCTGAAATAAAGCCATGTCAAGGCCATTTTAAGGCATCATGACCTACACCTGTAGGATAAATTCAGACACTTCAAGCACTCATAAAAATGATAGGGAAAGGGATGGAAAACGGATTTTGTTGCAGTGTCTTCTGGCTTCTTGTGTGGCTGCACCAAGGGAACAAGCACTTTCTTGTGCAACCCAAATGTTAGGTAGAAGCCAGCTACGATGACATTTTAGAGACAGAAAAAAGTGGTGTTGCTTCCTGACCAAAGCTGGTCAATCGCAGGAATTAATTCCATTTGCTTGCAGAAAGCTTATCTTCAGACAAATCAAACTAAATCTGAATTCTCTTAAAATTGTATTGTGGAGACTTAGAATTCAATCTTCGAACAGTGGTAGCATCACTTTTAGAAAAGAAAACCCCAAACAAACCCCATAAACAGAACAACCCTGGATTCCTGGATTAAGTTCTGCTTGATGTCTCTCATGATAGAGATATACTTAATCCTCAGAGCATCTATTCAGGTTGTGCCTGTGTGGATTTTAATTATTTATTAAAAAATGAGAACCACACAGATTTAGGGTGGTTACAATGTTAGAGAGGTGCTGTGCCCAGCTGTGAAATTTTCAGCATTTTGCTTTATATACATCTTTGGGGTAACATAAAAGCTCAGTCAACTTGTTAAAAGTTTTTTCTTTTCCTTAAATTTTGATTTAAGTTTTGTTAAGAAAACACCTGGCTTGCCAGGTGTTTTGTAGCTACCACTCAGATTTACTCTGAGTCAAATGCACATCACAGAATTTCTGTATATTTGCCATGCACTCTGTGGACTCACCTAATGATTAATTACAGCCTCCAGATGGGTAATTGTTTTGAAATTCAAACAAGTGACTACTAAGTGTTATTCTGTTTTCTCCTGTGCTGTTTCTGTCACTTTTCATGTTTAAGTAATTAATCTTTACTCAGGACATTGGCATAAAATTATCAGAAATGACATTTTAAAAGGCCATTGGCTGCAGGAGGATACATAGAAATATCTATTTACATTGATCTTTGAGAAATGTTGACATTTTAGGGCACCACTATGATCTTTTTGTTTGGGATCCCTCCCACAGCAGAGTCTTTCATGAAGTAGAGCACTGAACTTTCCTGATTTCTACAGATACAGGCTGTTGTTTTAACTGCTTGTTACTTAGTATTTGGATATCTATGATACAGATATAAGGTTAAAAAACCAAAAATGAACAATGTAATGAACCCACTGCCATAGAAAATGCCATGGATGTGATCACTGGTTGGGCAATCACAGCTTAGTGGGATATTTAAAACAACTATTTCAGACTTTAATAAAGTTTTCACTTACCAACCTCCACAAGGCTAGAGCAGTTGGGGTCTGTGAAGCCTTCAGGACACTCACAGGAGTAGAAATCATCACTCAGCCCTGACAGACAGATGCCACCATTCTGGCAGGGGCTGGAGTCACACACATCCGCTGTGGGGAAATAAAAACAAGGTTCTTGTTATAAAAGTCACAAAAAGTTATGCACAAGCTCCAAATATGGCAGATTGCTGGTAGTCAAGAAGAGAAAGGAATGAGAAACTCCATGTCCCTTGAATAACTTATGGTTAATCCAATTTTATATTTATTTAACAGCACACCTCTGTGAAATCATCTTTCCCTAGTCTTCCATTTCATAAAGTTTGATTCCCTTAGACTCAATGACAGCTATTCATTTAAAAATACAATAGCAAAAGGCAATCTTTTGCTTTCTCTTATTTAAAGGCATTTGTATAGCCTTGGAAAAGAATTTACCCAGAATTTTACTTCTCTTCACTGTAAAACAAAGAGGTGATTTCAGTTTTGGCTATTGCCTTATCAGCTGGTTTGTGAGCAAACAACTGTGGCTGTGGTTCCATCACCACGTGTTCCACACTTACACACTCTGAAATCACTCAGTGACACAGCTTTGATTCGTATCAGCCACTGAATTCAGGTCTGCAGACCCCCAGCTCCGTTGCAGGGATGGAGGCAAAAGAACCTGAGCTGCCACAGTCCCTCAGTGCCCCTCAGCAGTGCCTTCCATGTCCCAGGGAAGTCTAACAAGTCATTCCACAATCCATTTTGACTACCGAATTGGAAAAAAATTAATAGAAACAAAGCTATGCTTCACTTCAGTTGTTCTATTAACATTGAAGTAATCAACAGCAGAAAGATGCAAACTCTTAAAGATGCATCACAGGGCTGCTTTAAAGTTCTACAAATACAAAGCAATGCAGGACTGAATCCTCACAATAATGGGATAAATGGAACTAATCCTAAAGAATGCCCTAGGCTTTGGTCAGTTTCAATTTAATACTTTTTCTTAGATAATCATACATGTATTTTGATGCATTTTAATTTAATTCAACCTTCATCTTAGAAGAAAAATTTTTACTCTCATTGCTCAACATTGTTTTTAGAAATACTAATAATTCGTGCAGTAAATGCATCTGAAAGAAGTATCTGGTAATTATTAAAAAATAAGTACATTATTTTGCATGTGTTTAAAGTTGAAAAGTTGCCAGTCCTTTAGCCATGTAACTGAAAAAAGTTAGAAAAATTCACTTGTTTATGTCAGTAGTACTGATAGTATAACATGTTTTGGACTATAGTGGTGGTAAGGGAACTCAACATTTCAACACCTTTCTGGTACATAAAATTCAGATTAGTGCTTGTTGAGAGAATTTCAATTTTAACAATCATTTGAGAAATGCAACTGACATATGAAACTGCCTTTACAAATTCAGTGCATCAGTTGCAAAGAACTCTAGTTGTGCTGGGTTATTTTTAGTTTTATTTAATTTTAGTTCATCTTCTTTAATCTGCCCTTGTGAGACAGAGAACTGTCATGTGTTTACGTACTTGGAATTAACAGTTTTGTCTTGAAGACTGTCCAACTGATGGAGAAGCAAAGTTATTTGAAAACAGTAAGTGACATAAAACATCACCTATCTAAAGACCAAACGTTATTTGTCTTCCTAACTAAATCTAAATGAGTCAAAACTTTTCATTTTTTGCTTTTGTTGCATCACTGGGGTATCAAAGGATGCTTGTTTATTCCTTTATGGGGCTCAGACATTTGGTTGTTAAAGAACAGATAATATCAAACAAATGCTCTGACAACTGTATTCCCATACTTCTAATTAAATTAATAAACTAAACAACATCTGGAGCAGGAACACTTATTATGCAAATCCATATGGATATTCTAATTAAAATGAGAGAGGTCATATTTGCAATGTATTTCCCGATTCAGTGTCCTTCTGATTTCTATTATGGTATTCAAAAGAAAAAAAAAACAAACTCAAAAAGGAAGGTAAAAAGACAAATTTTTCCAATGGTAAATTTTATATTGATTTTATATTGATTGACAAGCAGATTGCAAACCCAGTTTTCCACTACATTTCCAGAAACTGAAATCTCCTACAATGACCAAAGTATGCATACTTAACTGTGTGGTTTTCATTTTTCTGAAAATCCATGCTGGCTTTTTCAGTCTGAAGTAAAGTGACCTGACTTGTAGTTTAGGACTACTAAAGCAGATGCTGTCCTCTGTCAACAGTCATTTATTTCCGTGTTCAGGAAATAACTGCACTAATTCCTCTTTAGACACACCACCTTGGCCTACCAGTCATGAATGCAATTTTTATAAAGTCATTGGATTGTGTCACAGAAATAAAATTACTACAGCATGCATCTAAACAAAATGGGACAAAAAAAGGAAGAAAGCACAAGGGACAAAAGGCTCCAAAAAAAAAAAAAAAAAAAAAAAAAAAAAAAAAAAAAAAAAAAAAAAAAAAAAAAAAAAAAAAAAAAAAAAAAAAAAAAAAAAAAAAAAAAAAAAAAAAAAAAAAAAAAAAAAAAAAAAAAAAAAAAAAAAA